TCCTCATCAGCTCAGCGCTCTTTATGGACTTGTCCTGCCTTAGTCCATTTCATATTTGACCAATCCTTAATTTCAATAACTCGTAATTCCAAAGAACTTTGTAATTTTGTTCGTTTTAGTACTTATATATCATACTACATAGTTTTTTATTACCTCATCGCCGCAAATTGTTGAGTTAGTCGAGACGTAAGATTATTTCATGAACCCTAAGATTAAATCAGATATCAAAGCCAAATTAAACGCGTAAAAAAAATTAAAGTCAGGTCAATTAGATATATATTTAAAAATTACGGAAATTGTCTTTAATACAAATTTTAAGTTATCGTCGAAAAGTTCTAAAGGAATCATCTAGGCTTCTCCTCTCCTGAATTCGAAAAAAAAATGCATGGAGCCATATTGAATAAAACAGGAATATATAAAGTTTATAATTTTATTATATATAAAGTTCATAATTTTATATTCATTCTTAAATATAATAAATTCTTAATCGTTTGTAACCATATTTAATTTTTTTTTCTAAGTCTGTGAACTGTTAAGTATACTTTCTTCGTTATTTTCACATTAAGATTAATAAAATGATAAGTCTTCATTTCATTAATAAAGAGAATTTCAACTATATATAAATCGAACTTATCATATAATTACAAATGTAATGAATTGAATTTTAAATAAATCAAAGAAATATCTTTTCCATAAGTAGCATAAGCTACAATATGGCTAAATTATACATGAAAAAAAAGTTCCTAAGAAGATAATTAATACATATTTTTAATCATGCAAAGAACTGTGAGTAATACTCACCATTCTTGATAGAAGAATAAAGAGACACTTCTTTCTTGTAACAAACACATTATTACAATTGAACTTAAATAAAACTACTACCCCGAATTTTGAAAGAAACACAAGCAAATAAAAAAATTCAATTTTAGAACGCGTCTTAGCAAAGTAAATGTCTACCAACATAACAAGATAATAAACTTTATTCAGACGTTTGAAATCTATTAATACTTTCTATCAATTAAAAAAAATATACAAACGAACAGAGAGTATTCTAAATTTTTATTTTTAAAACCTTTAAATATAATCTATGTACGAACAATTTATTAAAATCTTTTCAGATTAACACGATATAATATTATTACCTCATAAAAACTTCGTTATAATTTTTAAAAAGCTTCATTTTGTAAAATAAATAAATAAAATACGTAAAAAATAAATACATATTTTAATGTTGGATACATTCAAACAAATAATTGACAAAATCTTCAATTTTTTTCTTGATTGTAATATGAACAATGGCGGGAAGTACAAATTTAAATTTAAACCAGGAATTCAATGTTTTTATATACAGAAACTTGATTTAAAATATTGTTAATTTTTTCCTGTCTTTCTTCTTTTCAATATTATATACATTGTATTTAAAGTTCATCCACATAGTAAAATTATAATTAAATCTTGGTAATTCCATTGTAAGTGTTGAAAGAAAATAAGGTTGAGAAAATTTTAATGTTTACATATCTGCCTCACTTAAAGAGATTCATTAAAATGAAAATACATTTTTAAAAGAATATTAATAATTCATCCACTTTTACCTAATCTTCAAGGAAATATTGTGTTTTCATCAAACATATTTTGCAATCATATCAAACCAACTTATTTTACAATCAATGTTTTAGTTTAAGCTATTGAATAGTTTTAAACTATACCTATATTTTAAAATCCAGAATCATAGAGGATTAATATCATAAGAAGATGAAAAACCCAATGATGGTTCTCGAAATGGTATATTAATATTAATTTAAAGTTAAGACTCTATTTAATCATTATTCACAAGCAATTTTACTGTCCTGAAATATGGTATATAAAAAATGGGGGCATAGATTATCTGCAATGACTGTCTGAAAATTTATACTTAATTTAGCTAACAATTAGATCTTGTAGAATAGATATGAAAACCTGTACCACCACAACCCATGAAGGGTCTTGAGTTCAGTACTATTTAGGGAAAGCACTGTTTATTGGTCTATGGTTGTGCAAGGAGATGATTTAACAGAGATCACGTTCAACCGCCAGGTTTTCCTCCTTAATTAATTATTTTAATTATGGGTACCCACTTCATGCCCCATGGCCAATGAAACAGAATAAATAATTTTTCTGCCATGAGCCGGGATCAAACCTGGGACCTTTATGATTGGAAGCTCAGTACTATATAAAATAGATATAAATAATATTAAATTTGCAGAGCTTTCAATTTATATTTATATATGTAAAGCATAGGGTTTTGATTTAATTCTTTGTTTAAATCTAGTCAACCAAATATTTTGCTTCTATCCAACTTTTCTTTGTCCTAATTTCTTCTATTCACAATTATAAGGGTATTTGGCACAATAGTTAATAATTTTAAAAGACAAGTGTTTCAGTCAGCACCAGTGCCATTTTCGTCTTCTTTCATACTTCCATTTGTAATCCCCATCTCAAATTTTATTTATATTATTATTTTTCTATTGGTTTTAGTAAAGAAGAAATATGTCTACCGCAGTATAAGTTAGCTCTCCCACTGTCTAATTAATGTTACATAGAGAGACTGAAGTATTTGAGCCATAGTGCTGGTCGAAACATTGCCTTTTAGAATTATAAAATAAATAAAAAATATGATGATCAAATGTACTTGTGAATTGAACAATTATTTTATTTAACCTTTGAATACAGTGTTCAAGTAGGGTAGAAAATGTTAACATGCTATCAACCAATATTTGTTCACATCCTTTTAAGACTTGGTTATTATAATTGCTGATTATTTGAATGTTGCCATTTCTGGAAGTATTGTTAATTGGAAAAAGTTAAGAGTTTGAGTTTATATAAATTGATTTAATTTCTGGATATGTTGATTGTTTCTTTGTATAATTATTTCTAATTCTCATTCACTAACTTAGTGTCGTTTCTTTTTTTCCTTAAAGCCTGTGTTACATAATTAAATTAATACAAAAAAAGCATGAGTTAATATTGAACATATCACCAGTTTATTGTAAAAACGAGATATGTTTTTAATGATGCTAAACTTTTAATTATTAAGTATTTGTGATGTTCAAGGTTATGTATCAATGAAAAAACTTATCAAGTATATTAAAAACAACCTTATATTATGTCAAAAATAGTTGTACTAAGTTCACGTTTTAATATCTCAAAAAGAAAATTCACCAAATTACTTAGTGATTTGATTTTATAAAATGTTAATGACTTTTCAAAAAAAAAAAAAATATATATATATATATATATTTTTTGGTTATTTGTGATGGATGTTAAGATTTTTTCCAACAAGTATAGGAAAACTGTGATGCAGTTTTTTTAGGCATTACAAAATTCAAGTGATATTATAACTTGACCCAAGAGAATTTATTTTTTTACATTCTATTTTATTGAGAGTGGTATATCAGAAATGAAAATAACTAATCTTTAAGGTGGTCTACTTTTAATTTTTGTTAACCACAATATTTAGTAAGTTTGATAAAGATTTTAGTTCATTAGAAAAACCTCACAGTAGAAGGAATTATTGTAATAAAGGTGGACTTTCATATTACTTCTATGTTTTTCTTCTGCTGAGCCTTTATTAAGAACATCAAACATTCTCCAGGATTTCAGTTTGTATTTGAATGTTTTTAAAGTTTGATCCAATGATTTTGAGCACCCTTGTCATCATTGATTACTTACTTCCACATTTAAAAAAAAGATTAAATTAATCATGTTCAAGTATAGAAGATATTTCAATAGTAATGAAACGAAAAAATAACTTTATGGTGGGACTGAAGGGCCCTAAGAATAATAAAAAACTAAAAAATTATGCCCGTTGGTCTGGCTTGAAAATATACAAAAAGGTGCTTGTTAATTGCAATTGTAATTATACAGTTCATTGAATTATACAGTATGCAGAAACAAATAAATTTACATATATACAAAAAATTAAATCAAATATCATTTGTCAACTAATTCTTAATGAGCGATTTTATTGTGTGATTTTGAATGTGAAAGTTTAAATATGAAGTAGGTGATGGAATAGCACTTGTTTGAAAAAAATTGTTAATAAGGATTGACATAAGGAGATAGGTAAAAAGTTTCTAAAGGAAGTAACATAGATGAAGAAGGGTTTGCTGAAAAAGTGGTTTATGGGAGGGGATATATAAGTTGAGATCCGATATTAAGAGAGTGGATAAACGAATGTAGAGTAAGGATTTTCGGTTCTGAGGACTTAGAAAAGGAAAACATTAAAAGGGAATTACCGTCGGAAAGTAGGATAGGGTCACTTTAACTTGATGTACCAGCAGGAAACATGAAAAGTATTGTAATTAATTAAATATCCAATAAAATAGTATTGCGATCCTTTAATCGTTTTTTTTTTTTTCCAAAAAAGTATAATCAATGTAAAGCCATGTTTTACCATACTCGAGGAAGAACTATTAACCCTTAGTTTTAGTAGAGCCAATGAGTAAGTACCCACTAAATAGAGGCTAGGTGTGCTCCAGAACAAATAATCATCTGCCACAGCCGGACTCGAACCTGGGTTACACAGCATAGAAAACCAGTGCCTTACTTAATAAGCTACCCCTTATTTAAATATTCTTAGATTTTTTTTTTTTTATGATTTATAAATAATATGTATTAAGTTGGCTTAAAAGAACAATATAAAGAAATTTAGATAAGATTATCTAATAAAAAAAGACTAACAGGATTTGATATGAAAAATTAACTATTATTTTTAATCAGTTCCGATATAGCTGAAACTTTTATTTTTTTACTGTTTTTGTGTTACTTCGGAACTAGAATTTTCCCATGGACATTTTCAATAAAAGGTTTTACAGAACTTTTATTTTAAGAAAAACTCCAGTTTCACATGTATGCATCTGGTAGAAAAATATAATATAGTATATAATTGAAAAATATAATATAGTATATAATTGAAAAATATAAAGTAAATAACCAGGAAAAAAAAAATTGAAACACAAAGAAACATCTATATAGATTGATTTATTCACTATATTACAGTAGATACAAGGAGCCAAGACATTGAGATCTTTCGACAGCTGGTAAGTTACAATCGTAATTCGAAAAGACAATGACGAAATAAAGTCAGTCTGTTAAGTACAGAACTAACTAATAATTACTTTCAAATTTCATAAACCTACATTCATTTTTTTTTTCTTTTTCTTTTTACAGATAAAACAGATCATTACATTTTGATAACAATATTTTTAAAAAATTCCTTATTTATATACAGAGCTTAAAATACTATAATATCATTATAAATCAACTCAAATATAAATGCTTATCGCCTAAAATAGTTTAAAAATAAATACAAATAAATAAATATTTATAAATTAATATATAATAAATATACTATCAGACAAAAATTAAATTTTGTACAGCTTATCTTTGCTCTGGACAATAAATATTGTTGAAATAGAAGACTGTTGTAGAAACTCAAAGACAAAATTGTTAAAGTTTAATACAAATGCATGTTAATATTAAAATGGGATTAACCCATTTAATATATATTATAATTATATTCAGTTACTAACCACAGTACTATTTTTCAAAGGTACTTTCTTAAAGTAATATCATATTATGTTTTTAAGGAAACAATTATCATAAAATATAGTCCATTTTAAGCAGTGAGAGAGGAAAAATTGCCTGTCATATTAATTAATTGACAAAAATTTAATAAATGCAGAAAAATGTATCATGACATGAATTTTATTTTATGGACGAACTATGTAAGAAATTATTAAATAAGAAAAAAGAATGTGAAGATTTTTAGACAGCTTGAAAATCAGTCAATAGTGCTTGCAATGTCAATTAATCATATTGAAATAAATGGATAAAGTAAAAATTAATTTAAAATAAAAGATGTATTTCCTAAAAAACATTACATGATACTATATTATAATTAATTGTTTTTATAAGAAAAAGATATATCAGGGGCCCTTATAAAACCATTAAATTAAATTTCAATTAAAATTATTTCATAGAAATCCATTGATATAAAAGAACGCTAAAATACATTTGTCACTTTGACATGTAAATTAAAAAATTGGCAGTGAAAACATAATACTGAAAGACTAGAATAACATACTATTTTAAATGAAATGTATTATAAAAAGAAAAAAAGAGCATATAATTCGGGACCCATGAAATACAATAGAGCACTATCTTGCACTTCTCAAAAGAGGATCAGTTCATTTCTCCTTAGAAAATATATTATAAAAATAACTCATACACCAACAATGAGCACCAAACATCAAATGGTATAGAATTAAATTCAACAAATTACCTCTAACTTATAAATGAAATGGACGAAATAACATTCAGTTGTTATCGGTTTCGATCATTGAGCAATTGATAACTTAACATTATTATTATTAATTTTTGTTTATTTCATTCATACAATTAAGTACATTATGCTCCGAATCTAACAAATGATTATAAACTGACAATTTTTTTAAAAATTCCAAGTTAATTCCTATACTTATTCTAATTAACGATGACTATAAACATGGACATTTCTATATTGCCATAAGAGGAAAGTATTGAGATCACCCACACCCCAATACCTAACTGGTAAACCTTAATTTTTTGAAAAAAGAATAAAATTTATAAATACTATCATATAAAAACTATATACACACAAAAGGGACATATACACGATTTATGGATCGTATTCTTTCATCGCGTCTTGCAATTTCTTCCGAGCCATATTGACTCTTTCTTCTTGTCGTTTAATATCTTCATCACTTATGCTGACAGCCTGAAAACAAAAATAAAATGTAAATAAAAATTAAACAGTAGAATTGAAACACTCGGCCTCAAAACCATAATTCCATAAGTCAATTTTTGTTTATTTTACAGAGATACTTGAAAAATAAATTTAATGGTCATATATTTGTATACATGTACAATGTGGTTTTAGAATTTACATTAATTTATCGATAACCCTGATTATGAAGGACATTATGAAACCCTGATGATGAAGGACATCTCCGAAATGTCGGTTTGAGAATTTTTTTAAAAATTATATGAAAGTATTTTTTCATTTAAAAAAATGAAAAAATACTTTTCTAAAATACATCGGTTGGTTAAAAAAATACATTTTCTAAAATACATCGGTTGGTTAAAAAGATCTGGGTGAACGAGAAATTACCTGAAGAATGGAAAGAATCTATTCTTATTCCGATTCACAAAAAGGGCCCGAGGACGGATTGTAATAACTATCGAGGAATTTCACTCCTTCCGGTATGTTATAAAATATTCACTTCAATCTTAACCAGTCGAATCACGGAATACGCCAAGGAAATTATCGGAGACTACCAATGCGGATTTAGACGCTATCGTTCGACAATTGATCAAATATTTTCTTTACGGCAAATATTAGAGAAAAAATTGGAGTATAACGGTATTGTTCACCAGCTGTATATAGATTTTAAAAAGGCTTACGATTCTATTGACCGCCAGAAACTGTATAATATTCTAATTGAGCAGGGGATTCCAAAAAAACTAGTAAATCTAGTCAGGATGTGCTTGACGGAGACACTCAATAAAGTTAGAATCGGTAATAATTTGTCCGAAAAATTTGAGGTTCGTTCGGGCTTAAAACAGGGGGATTCTCTTTCGCCTGTCCTGTTCAATTTGGCATTAGAACATGCCATTAGGGAGGTAATGCGGACCGAGAAAGGGGTGGATCTGGGCGGGACAACATCCGTGCTGGGCTATGCTGATGATCTGGTACTGTTAAGCGAAGACGTTGAAACTATAAAACTAAATACGACAACGTTAATGAAAGCCGGTAAAGAACTAGGACTCGAAATAAACGTGGATAAAACAAAATATATGGTTAGCTGCAAAAATGGCGATACTACTGGTGATATCGATATAGATGGTAATATGTTTGAACAGGTAGATAAATTTAGGTATCTAGGTTCTACGATAACTAGAAAAAACGAAATTGAAGAAGAGATTAAGGTTAGACTGAAGGCGGAAAATGCTTGTTATTTTTCTGTGACAAAACTACTTAGTTCGCGCCTCTTGTCCCGAAACTTAAAAATTAGAATCTATAAAACAATTATCTTGCCTACAGTTCTTTATGGATGCGAAACTTGGCCGCTTACATTAAGGGATGAGCAGCGTCTTAAGGTTTTTGAAAATAAAGTATTGCATAGAATATTCGGACCGAAGAAGGATGAGTTAACCGGAGAGTTCAGACGGTTACACAACGCCGAATTGCGTGAGCTGTATCCGGGTAATATAATTGAGGTAATTTCATCGAGGCGAATCAAATGGGCTTGTAAAGTTGTTGGGCTTAGTAACGAGAGAATTCCTAAAAGGTTAATATTTGCTGTGCCGAATGGTAAGCGTCCGAGGGGTAGACCGAAGCAAAGGTGGGAAGATTGCATTAAGGCCGATCTGAAGGGACTGGGTTTGGACGGCGAACGGTGGAGGGAGGTGTGTAACAAGCGATTGGTGGTGTCGGCATCGAACCTTCGGGTTCGCTAAGCCTTATTATTATTATTATTATTTTTTCATTACACATATATATAGATATCTGAGAATATTCAAATATTCTGAATATTTGGGAAAGAAAGTATAAAGCAGTTTTTTTGGTTGTTGCAAACAAAAAGAATTTGAATCTGGCTAGTTTTTAATGAAATAGTGAAATAATTAGAAAAAGCTGACTAATTATGTTTAGATGATGATAATTTTCTTTGTTGCGATAACTTACAACATCAGCAATAAAGAACTAAAATTAATTGGGCCTATTGTTAGGGAGGGAAGTGTTCATCATTTCATCATCTTTGTAATGAGCTATTATTCAAAATTGTATCTTAATGCGACACCATGTTAGGGAATCGAAAAGGAAAAAATAGTGTCAAAACCCAAATGATAACAAGTTTTATTGATGATATGGATTAAAATATCTCAGAAACTAAAAATTGGACCTGCATACTGTAAGCAAGGGAACTGTTCAGCATTTCACCCTCTTTGTAATGAGATGTTATTCAAAATTGTATCTTAATGTGATGCCGTGTTAGAGAGGCAAAAAGGAAAGAAATAGTGCCGAAAACCAAATGCTAACAAGATTGATGGAAGACATGAATTAAAATATCTCAGAAACTAAAATTCTGACCTCCATACTGTAAGCGAGAGAATTGTTCAGCATTTCATCCTCAATATAATGAGCTATTATTTATATTTCATATTATTAATTTCAAATTGTTGATGTTTTCACTTCTATCGTGTGGTGTAAAGCACACTCATTTTCTGATCCTCTATAATTTTATTTTTCAACTATTATATAAGTACAATATAATATATATATATATATATATTCACAAGTTTTGTTTTTGAGCTGCCCTATGGAATTTGAAGGAGAGGAGATGGAAACTGGTTTGAAAATTATGGTATTGTTGGTTGGAAAATAATGGTAGGGTTACATGTGTTACACCTAACAATCATTGGACGGGGAGCGATCACTCTGTTAGTTGATCGTATTTACATATATACAACTATTTACAATATGGATTGTAGGGTCCAAACCTCTTCCTTCGGAGAGTACATCCACCAAAGGGAGTTTGCTTTGCCACCTCCCAGGCATAGGTAGGGGGAGAGGAGGAGGAAGCCATATTCTGGAATAATGGGTTAGCACAGGCCTTTACCCCATCAAAAAATTTGATGTGCCTCCGGCCTATGAACTCAGAAACCGAGGGGAGCTGGAGCACCTCTCGGATTTGGGCATAATTTGGAAATGCAAAAATTCTGTCAATGATAAAGTATTATTATACATCAGTTTAAATTGTTAATTTAATTTAACTATGAATCTTGAACTTCAGAGACATAAAATCTACACTATTTACAATAATACGGTATTATATATCCCTTTTCTAGCTCTCAGGAGTGCTGGATTTTGAAGAGTGCCAATTTAAAAACTTAACATCTTACTAAAAATACTTTAAAAGTTATTAAAAAAATTGGGAGGTTTCAAAACCCAGATGGTTTCGAAAGTTGACAGATCAAGTTAAATAGTGTATGGAAGATTTTGACATGGATACCAAGACTATGTAGTTGCTTTCTAACTATACTGGGGGTTCCTACAGTTGAAGCCCTAAAATTATCATTTGTTCAGATAAATTATAATTCTTGCTGAAAGCCTCTTAAGTGCTATAGTTGCCATAAGATATTTATCAAATATTTAGGTTTTAAAAATAAAAATAAAGCTATTTATGATAGTCTGTGATAAACTAAAAATCTGTTGAAAAGATAAATGGTGAATAATAGCTTTATGATCCTTTGGGCATGTTGGATAAAGGAAAAAAAAAGTTTTGACATTTTTAATAAATAAAAATATATCCAGATATGGCTTCTATACTCTCAGCAATAGACTTCATTACTCTTAGTAAGTGAGAGAATTACAAATCAAGTATCGCTTCATCAATCATGTTTGTTCAATAGACTTTCTAGATTAAATTATGTAGAATATACAAATAAACATGTATATTCATATATTTATGAGAGTGAAGTAGCTTAGTGGGTAAGCACTGACTTACTTCCAAAGCTCAAGGTTCTGGATTCAAATTTGGCTGATGGTAAGTAATTTTTCATTAGCCGTGGATTGACCCTGAGATCAGGGCATCCCTCTGGTGCACACTCAGCCTGTATAAAGTGGGTACTCTTAATTAAATTAACAGGAAAAACCTGGCGGTTGAGTGTGGTCCTGGTCCGATCACCTCCCTGCACAACGACTGCCCTTGACAGTATTTCCTTACATAGTACTGAATCTAAGAACCATCATGGTTTTTTTATATATTCATATATTTATGAACATGATGCTGCTTTTATGTCAAATGTATTTTGTTGAACAGTGACAATCTAATTTGAGAATTCTCACTCGGGTATACTAGTTTACTATTATCATTATAATTATGTCACCTAAATTTCAAAAAGATGTCAACAAGGTATTTATATTTATTTTCAAATTATTTAGTAAATCTTCAAAATAAATAAAAAAAAGTACCTGTATCAGGGGTTGATCTGGGTTAATGAAGACTGCAGGATTCTTATCCGAGCCTGGCTTCATATTTGTCTGACCAGTGATCGGCTGACCGAGGACGTGCAGTGCAGTCGCAACCGACTGAAGCAAGGTTTCATCCGTGACCCCGGGTCCTGCAGGCCGCAGAGATCGAGGCAGCTCCATCGGTTCCAAAGGGTTCCCCTGAGCATCGCTGGCTCTCAAACCCTCAAGTCTTTTCTCCCAGAAAAGCTAAAAATGAATCAATTTTGAAATATTGAATATTTCTAAAAACTTACAATTTTTAATTAATTATTAATATTCAATTAAATATAAAATTTAATTGTTTTATTAAAATTAAATTTTATATTTTTATCAGTTTGGGGGGAGACAACCATTGCAGAACTTTTCCAGGAGAGTAACAATGTCAAATTAAAGGATTAAGAAGAGGAACAAGTACACTAAAACAAGTACTCAAAAAAATGATGAGAAGTAGCTTATTTGTCGAGCTTGAGAAGTAGCTTAGGGTGCATGCCTTATTTGTCGATTTTAAAGCAGCCTTTAATTCCGTGGATAGAAACTATCTTTGAAAAATTATGACTGAACTGAAATTATGCAACCATGACCTTAAACTTACCAATTACCAATGACCTTTAATTTCAATTTTTAATACAAGGAGAACTATCAGAAGCCTTCGAAGTCCACTTCGGAATAAATCAAATGATCCTTGGATATACAGATATACCTATAAATCAATATCTCATGATATGAAGGCAAGGAGATGGGCAGAGCATGTAGCTCGTAGCAGTTCATCAAGAAGCCACTACACAACATTGAATACCTCATCAATAGTAGGCAAGAAACAGCGTGGATGGCCAAAAATCAGATGGATAGATCGTAGCAACAAAGATGAAATAGAGCTGCGTGTAGATAATTAGAAAGAAATACCCCATGATAGGCAGAGATGGAGAAGGCTGTGAAAGATCTACAAGATCTGTAAAGCCAACAGAAAAAAAAATTTAATAATGGCTTCTTACAAATCTGTCCTAACATTTCTAATATATGATTGAAGGAAGAATATAGAATGTAGTCATTATTCACAATAGCCCAGGATATAATGTATGGTCAGTATAGAGATTAAATTCAAATGTAAATTGGCATGAACTGCTGATAAAACCCTTTATATATCTGTAAATAGTTTTATATTTTATATTCTTCTTCTTCTTTTACGCTACCACCCATGTGGGATCAAGACCTCCTGTAACATCAGTCGCTAGTCATTTTTATTCAAAGCAGCCAATTTCCAATCTCGTATATTAAGGATGGATATCGCGTCAGTCACTACATCATCAGCCCAACACAATTTGGGTTTTCCAATTGGCCTTCTTCCAAATAGCTCTTCCGTGAGAAGCTTCTCTGGAATTTGGCTATCCTATCAGGCATCCTAGCTACATGGCCTGCCCAGCGAAGTCGACCAATCTTAATAAATTTGACGTTGTTACTCTCCTATTTTCTTCAGTTTAGGATCTAGTTACTTAGCTTACTCTGTTTATATAGCTTATTGTTCTTAATATTCGGGTCGAAATATTGGCTCGAAATAAAATAGTTTTGTCACTATTTTAGTCTATTTATGACCGCCATTCCAGACCATCTCCTTCCTCTATATTTTTTATACCCATGAAACTATTTCACTAATTTTTTTTTTTTTCAAATTGGAGCAAAAGAGTTCTTTTCTAATAAATAAAATAATAAAATAACTAAACATTAATTTTTAGCATTGACATAAAAATAAATAGCACAAATATGCCATGTTTTATAAATATTTATGAATGAGCACGAACCTGTTTAGGCTTCTCCTGAGGTCCGTGTTTGAAATCAGCCTTCACTTTCCCCTCTTGTGTTCGGTAGACAGTAACAGGCTGTTTGAATATTGAAGCTGTTTGGCGTATTGGTGGTACCAACGAGGCATCGTTTCTGACACCACGGCTAAAAGCAAGGCATTATTATTTTTAAAATTTGAAAGACTTAAAACTAAACCTAAACGAGTATTTAATATGATATTTAGATTTTCAATGAATACGTCAAATAAAAACAAAAATGAATTTACATACTTTTTTAAAAAATATTTCTAGAATTTACACAATTTTTAATCTTATCTACTTCAATACATAGAATGATTATTTTAAATATTTATAAAATAAATCAGTTAATAACATAAAGTGTATGTCACAGAACCTGAAATATGAAAAATCATTAGTAGTGCAAACATTAAACAAGTAGTGAGAACTGAAAATCGTGTGCTTCCATAAACCCTTAACAATATGTAAATTAAATAGAATAATTTTTTTTTGCAGATATGTTTGAGAGTTACATGTTCTGAGGAGGATCATGCACAGGAATATCATTAAAAACATATTTCAGGATGACAAGCTTTGCAGGTTTGATGAGCACATGCCTGTACACTTATTTTACATTAAAAAAAAAACATTGTTTCTCTTGTTACAAATGGTGGGTAAATAATATTAAATTATTTAATAACTCTTCTTGATTTTTGATATTTGTATAATATTTAAGTACAAAATATATATGATTTGTGTTACAATAACAAAAAAAAAAAAAAACCTTGGAAAATGATATAAATCTTTCCTCTCAACAAGAAGACGGAATTCTCCAATATCTTAATTCAATATTGCTTTTTATTTCAATTATATCAACACATAATAACCGTTACATCAAAAACTCCTAATTTTCTTCCGCGCACATAGAAACTTCAAGCAATAAAAAACCTAAAGGAAATATATAATAATTTATATTGTTATTGTCCTACTTATAAGGATCCATGACTGTTTAGTATTTTGTGAACTATGGATATGTGAGTGGGGCGTTCAATCCTACCTCACACCCTCTAGCAAGTCTGGAGGTCCTCTAAAGTTAGAATCAGTTATTATTTATCCGAGAAATATGAGGCTCATTCGGGCTTTAAACAAGGTGATTCTCTATCACCTGTCCTAATTAATTTGGCAGTAGAACATGCCATTAGAGAGGTGATACATACCGAAAAAGGTTTGAATCTGGGTGGAACAATATCGGTGCTTGGGTATACTGATGATTTAGTACTGATAAGCGAAGACATGAAAACAATAAAACTAAATATAACAATGTTGATGAAAGCCAGTAAAGAACTAGGATTCGAGATAAATTCGTATAAGAAAAATATATGTTTAGCTGCAAAAATCCGATGATATCTATATAGAAGGGAAAGTATTTGAACAAGTACAGAATTGCAGGCATCTAGGTTCTATGGTAACCAAAAAAAAAATGAAATTGAAGAGGATATTAAGGTTAGGTTGAAGGCGGGAAATGCTTGTTATTTTCTTTGTCAAAACTATTTAGTTCTTGCCTCCTGTTCCGCAACTTAAAAATTAGAATCTGGCAGGGTTGGGTTTAGACAGAGTCCAGTGGATAGAAGAATGTGGACATCGATTGGTAGTATCGGCATCGAACCTTTGGATTCGCGAAGCCTTATTATTATTATTTTCCTACTTATTTTATTTATATCACTTGCAATTTTCTCCTATATATTCCATTTCATTTCATTGTTCATTTCTTTGCTATATTCAATTAATTAGTTAATTTGTTAAGTTGTTACTATTATTTTATTATTGTTTACTTTTTCAATATGTTTACTTGATCACTTTATCTACATATTAATACTATTACTGTCTATCCTTTTCTCAATACTTATATTTTATCTTGTCTTTACTAAGCCTTCCTTGATGATGGCCTGAAACTTAGGCCGAAACATCGACAAAAAGAATAAAAATAAATATGATTTATTTATTTTTCTTTGTTGATTCATTGATTAAAACCAACTTCTCTCCAAATTTTTATATAGAATATAATTATTGTATTGAAAAAAAAAAAAGTGAGTTGAGGTGACATTAATAATGAATAAATATAATAACAATTTATCAATTAGTAAATAAATGACAAATTAGCACAGAAATTTAATTTAGCAGTGTAAGCATTGCTACGCAACAACAAATTATTTACTTCAAAATTTAAAAAGCTAAACCCTCAAGGCTTTTTTCAATAAAAATTGAAGTTCCATTACCATGTCCATTCTTATGTAAATTATTATTGCATACAACACTGTGATTGTCAATAAATATTTAAACAGGTGTGGGTTAATAAATAGATCTCAATATAAAATGATTAAAAATGGTTTTGGTCAGAGCGAAAAGGTTGTAAAGATTATTTTATCTCTTTCTACTCCAGGAGGGATATAGCTCTTTCTTCAAAATTTTGGGAAATGAGTCCACAAATAGCAACAAATTTATAAAGTTACTGTTGAAAAGTTTATTAAGGATAAAAAAATATAATGAGAATATAAGTTTTACTTAGAAAATGAGGTAAAAAAAACTAAAAACTTAGATATACATTTTTTATTTTTTTTTTCTTAAATCATAAATGAATTTTTATTAGGAGATCCAATATTTCGACCCTAACATTTTTGCTTTAGTTATAAGTTTTAGTTTATATAACAGCTGGATCCAGCCTTACTTAATTTAATTTTTATTGAATACTTAATAGTTGACTGTTGTATTATTAGGGAAGGAGATGGTCCAGGGTGGCGGTCATAAATAGGCTAAATAGTGGCAAAACTATTTTATTAAAAGCAAACGTATAAACCCGACTTTTTGCAGGTCTTCTTCAGGGCTAGAACGGACAAGATACAAAAAGATATAGCGAATTGTGGAAGTTGTATAATATTTAGACAAAAAATTATAAACAGTAAGTACATTAAAATATTTAAAACAATAAGCTATTTAAACAGAGTAAGCTAAGTAACAAGATCCTAAACAGAAGTGAATAGCCGTAAGTCTATATTTTTATTCTTCTAATTTTATTCACTTATTTATTTATTTTATTTTTTCTTTTCTTTCTCCACATTCCTTCATGTCCATTATTTTATATTACATTCTTTTTCCTTTTCTTCCAATCTCTCGTGTAGATCTGTAGGAGTATATTCACAATTGCATATATTATACTACAACAATTGTTACCATCTATTTACTTCAGTTTAGGATCTTGTTACTTAGCTTACTCTGTTTATATTTTTATGTACTTACTGGTTACAATTTTAATAAATTTATTCACATTGCTTATAATGTTTTACCTAAGTATTATGTAACTTTCACAATTCTCTATATCTTTTTGTATCTTGTGCGTTCTAGCCCTGAAGAAGACCTGTTAAGTCGGGTCAAAACGTTGGCTTTTAATAAAATAGTTTTGTCACTATTTAGTCTATTTATGACCACGCACCACCCCAGACCATCTCCTTTCTTTTTAATTTTTAATATCTTTTAACATATTCATTTTTTTCGACATATTTTTAATATTTCAGATAAATAGCCGTTAACTGTTACTTTACCGCATCCCATTTTTTTCAACTCGCACCCAAACTGATCCTAAATCCACAGTTCTTGTCTCTACTCCCAAAAGATAGGAAACTGTTAAGAAACTATTTACATTTATTAAACTGTGTTTCTCTCTATATACATATATATATATATATATTTGAAATGTATTTAATTATTACTTTTGATACACAATATTTATCTTTTTCATTCATTTATTTCATTTTAATTTTTACTTTTATTACTGTTATCTTACTTATTTAATCTTATTACTGTCATTCTGCACTCTTATTACCCTAGCACTTTCATATTTATTATTTAACTGATGTTATTTTATATTTCGTATTTTTTTAGCCCTGATGATGACACACATGTCGGCTAACCTAATAAAAATATCTTGATTGAAATGTCTGTGAAATTTTGTTTCTTCCTAATAATTGATTAGTCGACTAATTACCCATCTCTAGAATTTCTATTAATATTTTGAATTATTAAATAATTATAAATTTTGATACAAAATGGCTACGGATCAGACCATTCAAATGCCTATATCTCAGAAATAATAATTTTCAACACTACAAACCCAAATAAAATACAACTATTTTAAAATAATAAAATAAACTTTGAATGATGAATAAATGATAACCAGCCTTTTCTACATCAATATCATAATCAGAAACCTAAAAATTAGGAAAAATATTGTTTTCAACTACATTTTATTAACAAACAATTATTTAATATTATAAAATTACTATTATTTACTGATAAAATAATATGAAAAACGTGGAACAGGTTCAATGGCAGATAAAAGTTCTACTCAGATACAAGACACAATTTAGATAGTGAGATTATTGTAGATAACACTTTTTTTTGGTCCTATCTTTTATCCCTTAGTCCCTTTGGTCGGAATAATGCTCATGGATAAAGAACAAACTAAAGTGAAACGAATAAACAGAATAGTTATGTAACACAAAATATTAACTTTTATTAATTCACTAATATTACTTCGTGGAATTATCTACAATTCTTTGCGTCGTCTTTATGGAAAGCAATTCTAAGCAACTATAATAAATAGTTCATGGTACAGATCTCTTTTTATCAAATTATTAACAACCACCTAAAACTTCACGAATATTTTCATCTCGTCGTAACCTATAAATATTTTAATTATGAAAATTCTCGGAAATTTTCGATCTGAAGATCGGCAAACTTTGTCGATTTAACTACATATTAAAAACACGTATACTCGTTTGTTTTCCACTCGAATCGTAAGATAATATGATCACAAAATCGACAAAAAAGGTGGCATTTCAAACATATTGGTCCGTTTGGCGTGACGTCCACCCCAAAATGTCAAATTAATCAGGTTATTTAGGCCAAACGATCCAATATTTTTTTAGGTCAATTTTTTTCTGATTTGACGAAATGAATCTATATTCACGAAGTCTTAGGCAATGTTAATAAGTTGATAAAAACTGGTCAGTACCACGGACTTACAAGATTTTTTTTATTTTTATGAAATCAAACTAATTCGCGGTGTCCCATAGCTTTATCTTATAAGACCAC